TGAGAGAAGTGCTTTTGGAATTAACTGTGCCATAGCTCCAGGCTAAGACATTCCTGTTGTGAGTGGGAGCAGCTGACCTCATGCTCTGACCTCAACAGGACCTAAGTGGATTTATTCATGTGTTTAAAGTCAGCATATGCTTCTGCACATTGCTAAGCCTCAGCCTTGGTGACAAACAACTCCAGATTAATTATATAACAAGGGTGATTACTTTAAGTTAAGGGTGAATAATACCACTTCACTCAGGATATCCAAACTGCTACTATGCAAGGTGCTGGCATGGTGTGAAAATAGCTGGGAAGGATGATCTGAGGTCTTTCCAGTATTATAACTCTGTATTTCCCAATGATGTATTATGCTCTGTATTATTCCAGGTGGGGTTAAACATTTTTATTTTCTAGCATCAACTGTCATAGTCACTTCTGTGGTGTGTTTTTCTTTCTGTGCATACATAAACTCAAGTTGGTGCAATTATAAAATCTATGATGTACAGATTTATTATATCACTACAAAAACCTAAGAGGATTTTTTTAAAGAAGTAACTCCTGCTGTACATACAATAAAAGCGAATTGTCTCTGTGTGGTGTGCTGTCCTACATACCCAGGTGTAACAGATGGTTTTCTACCCTCCTTCACTACTTTGACCTGTTGCTTAACACAGAGCATTTACCTGTTTGTTCAGGAGCAGAGTTCTTTCCTGATAACCCCAGCCTATCAGGCAGCCCCTTGGTGCTTGAGAAATCACCTGAACACAGATTGGGTAGGGAATCTAATGGCAGAAGGGATTGTGGAGCTCATTTAGTTACTCAGTGTTTTTTTTTTCTCTCAGTTATGTTGTAATATCCTAAATTAGGGGGCAGAGTGGGGGAGTTTTAGGGCTGGATCCTACGGGGAAGACACCAATACTACAATGAGCACAGCCTGGGAATTAGGTTCCCTTGTGATGATTTTACTGAAAAGGTTGTGTTACAAATCACTGCTGCCACAAAGCCCTGCCAGACTGAGGGGAAAAAACCCAACCCCAACACTAAAATACCACAACAAAAAACCCAGCAAAACAAAGACATTCACGTGAAAATAGCCACAGTAATGTTTCTGTTTCCCTTCCAAAGGTGAGGGCTGTACCCTCTTTTACAAGGAAATGTTACATTCCCTTACTGGGAGTTACTGCCCACGTGTTCATTCCATATTATTGAAGTACTTAGCTCAAACTTCCTGATATTAACAAACCTTCATCCTTTTCCTCCCTGCTCTAATCTGTGGTGAGGTCTTTTACCTTGTGTGATGCCATTCCTGTACATTAGCAAAAGTGACAAGTCAGAGGGACAGCAGGAATGGATGTAGCTCCAAGTGTAGCACCATGCTCTTCCCTCCAGTTCATCATTCTTAATAAATACAAAGGATCTTCAATTTTTCACCTATCTACTCAGGTGAGCCTGGCATAAGATGCAATTTCACAGTCTGAGGTTAATGCTGAAAAAAATAATTTGGAGCTGCAGGATCCAGACTCACATGCATTGTAAATGTTCAGATAACTATACTGAATTAATTTATACTTATTGTGACAAAGTGAATGCACTGCAAGTAGGATAAATCCCTTTGGTGTGCTGGATGCTGGACAAAACCAGGCAGAAGTCTATGTGAGTATATACTGAGATATACAGGGAAAATAAGTAAAAGCAGACTATACAAAAACTACCAGTCAGCTTCAGTCCTTGAAAAAGCATATAATTTGTACATGCAGTTAGATCCTTTAAAAAACTCCCCTTACTACTCCTGTAGTAATTTAAAAATTCTGGCGAGTAATTTTGAAAGAGGAAATTGTTCCCCATCCTGAAATGAACATTGTTTTGCAAAGGACAATATTTTGGAAATTGAGATGCTGCATTGTTTCAGTTTCCCACAAGACAGTCAGTATGGCCATGGTGTCGTGGGTACATCAGGAAGAGCATTCCCAGCAGGTCAGGGCTGATCCTGCCCCTGTGCCCACCCTGGGGGCACCTCTGGCTGCTGTGTCCAGCTCAGCACAGCAGGGCCAGGAGCTCCTGGAGAGGGACCAGGGGAGAGTGACAAAATAAGGGAGTGGAGCTTCTCTGCTGTGAGGAAAGGCTGAGGGAGCTGGGGGTGGTGAGTCTAAAGAAGAGAGGAAACCTCATTAATGTGTATAAATAGCTAAAGGGGGATGGCCAGGGGATGGATCCAGGCTCTGCCACAGGATGAGAGGAACAGGCAGAAACTGATGGAGCACAGAAGCTCCACCTGTACATGAGGCAGAACTTCTCTATGCAGTGACCAAACCCTAAATAGATTGTCCAGAGAGGCTGTGGAGTCTCCCTTGCTGACCATGGTGGAGGCCACCACTGGATGGTTGGAAACCTACCCTGTGTCTCATGCTACAGCCCTGAACACCATCCTGGGCCTTGAAAAGCAAGTTCTGTGGAGACATGGCACCCCTGAGAGGATCGAGTCAGACAATGGGACTCATTTCAAGAACAGCCTTATCAACACCTGGGCTAGGGAACATGGCATTGAGTGGGTGTACCATATCCCCTACCATGCACCAGCTGCAGGAAAAGTGCAGGACTACTAAAAACCCAGTTGAAAGCTTTGGGTGGGGGATCTTTCAAGAATTGGGAGCAGCATCTGGCAAAAGCCACCTGGTTAGTTAACACCCGAGGTTCCACCAACCGAGCAGGTCCTGCCCAGTCTGAGTCCCTGAATGTAATAGAAGGAGACAAAGTCCCAGTGGTACATATCAGAGGTTTGTTAGGGAAGACTGTGTGGATCAATTCTGCCTCGAGTACAGACAAACCCATTTGTGGGGTTGTCTTTGCTCAGGGACCAGGTTGCACATGGTGGATAATGCAAAGAGATGGAACAACACGATGTGTACCTCAGGGAGATCTGATTGTGGGGTAAGAATGATATTGGGATAAGGGGTGGAATGTCCTGGGGTGACGTTATGATGCTTGTATATCCCCATTCATCTGTTCTGTGCCTTTAAGACCGGCTCTGAAGAATGGAAGTTTTGTTTGGGTTTCTCTTATCAGGGACACAGAGACGAGCAGTACATAGGGCTGTTTTTCACTTCTTGCTTCAGCTTGCTGCTTTGCTTGCTCCCTTTTCTGCTCTTGCTTCCGCTCTGCTTTGGCCTCTGCTTATTAGCTAGTTCTAGCTAAACAGTCCACATTGCTTCCTGGACTGTTTCTCCTCTCCTGTTGCTGTGACCATCTCCGGACTGGGACCTGCTCCGGACTGGGACCCGGGAACACCGAAGGTTCGGCTGCAGCAGCTGCCCCAGCGCCGGAGGGACTGAGAACAGAGCAACCACCCCCGAAAGAGACTTTCTGATTTTGTCATCTTTCTCAGAGTGGTGTCATCGGGTATTGTTCATTTTGTGTGCTGGGGGGTGCGGGGCCAGTCAAATAAACAGGTTCTTTCCACCTCTCTCCAAGGAATTTTTTCCCGAACCAGTTGGGGGGAGGGGCCGTGTGGGTTTTTCTTTCTGGAGGGGCCCTCCTTTGCAGATTCTTTAACAAATTTGCCCTAAACCAGGACATTATTACATTTTCTGGGCAGCAGAAAAAGGACACTCGTTAACAAAGGATTAACCCTTAAAAACAATAACCTGTTGCATATTGACACACCTCATATATGATGCATAAATTCCATTCAAATACAGGATTCTGTCTGGTCATCCTCAGCTTCTTCCTCTAAATCCTGACAGTGCCTTTGAGGTGGGAAGAAGTTCGTTTCTTCTGATAATGGAGCAATAAATTCTTTTTCTGTGAAAGATTTAGGTCCCGTGGCTGCTATCTCGCTGGAAGTCCTTTCTTTAAAGAAAGTATCTTACATAGCATAGTTTCTATTTTAACATCTTTTATAACCTAAAACTATATTTAACACAGTACTTAAGAGAATTAATACAGCATTACTTTCTAACACAACACATATAATATTAATTTTAATATTTGTGAAAAGCCAATCATAAAATACGCATTTTTCACAGACAGGGTGGTGTTGGGTCATAGCTTGCACTGGATGGTCCTGGAGGTCTTTTCCAACCTATTCGATCCTGTGGTTCTGTTTCAGCCACCCCGCTCCCCGGCACTGCCCGTGAGGAGACGGGAGAGCCACCCGGGTGCTC